AAATTGTGGGCAGAAATGCAGAGCTAATTTGTACCTTGCAGTTTCCAGGATAGCCTGTACAACAATCTGATCTGTGCATGTAATCAAGCTGTAAGCAGCATCATACTTGACTTCAGATTGCATGGGTTCTCTCTCTAACTTGAAAGTCAACAAAAGCCCTTTTTCTGTAAATGCCCAGCTCATGATTTTCCTAGTGCCCCTCATTATGTTACATGTAAGCACAAGTTTAGTTTCCTTTTTGTTCATTCTTTGTAATCACTCCATTCATTACTCCTGGTGTGCTTTATAATACCTTAATCCTTGCAGGCTCCTGCTCTCCTTGTTCTTCAGGGAGCCTGAATTCCCACAGGCACCATTCAGCTACCTATGGAAATTGCACACCTGCTTCTTCGTGCTCTTTGCCAATGCTGTAATGTTTGTTTCCTCTCATCGGCCCCTTCTGGCACAGGACTTCAAACCTCTCTTGAAGTGTCTTAGCTTAGAAATGCAGGAAAGTTAATGTTTGAACTGAGTCAAAGAGGAGAAAAACAAAAGTGCATGTCCCCAGCTCAAGTGAGAAGAAAGGTCAGTCCCCTGGCATCAGTCACCACTGACCCACAGGTTTTGGACACGGGTTTGTGCAGCACCTGATATCATGAGACGCCTAGAATAATTTTTTTTTCCTATCCCTTTGCATTGACCATTAACTGCTGCACACATTCCTGCCTGTAGGATCATTATCCTCTGTGTCTATTCCCACAGCAGCCTCATCAGTTGGAAGTTAGCCTTGCCATCATTAAGGAAACTTTAACAAAGACTGTTCTGTTGAGAGTGAACATCTTGATGAGGCCTAATTTATTTCACATTTGTTGTTATCCTGTTGACCTAAAATGACAGCAGGGCACTTGGAGAGGTGCCTAGTTTATTTAAGGAGCAAACACAAAATTGTCTCTCCCTGCCTGCAGAAAGACCTTAGCAGCATAAGGCATTCCTAGCTCCTGGTCCCAGTGCTCTGCCTGGTAGCTCCTGTCCCTAAAAGCTCACTGTGGCTTTTCCAGGGGTCAGTTCAGATAATGTTGCTTTTATCTGTTTTCAACAGTTCCAGCCTCTACTTTTCACATACTCTCTGGAGTGTTTTCAGTGCTGCGAGAGCTGAGAAGGTGTTGTGCGCTGCACCAGCATGACAATCTGGGTACACTCCAGGAGTGACCTGTGTTTGGGGGAAGGATCAGATGCCTGGGTGCAGGTGGGGAAAGTGCCCAGTCTTTGGTCTCCCTAGACTTTAAGACTTGTGTAGTGGCACAGTCCAAGCTGCAGTGCCATCTCCAAGTCCCTGCCCGCAGCTGTCTGCTGGAGCACACTCCTCACTGAGCATGGTGTGCCTGGTATGTGGGATCTGCCTTGGAGAGTAGCTGCTGGAAAGCACAGAACCAAACAAGGTGCACAGTGCAAGGACAAGGGTCCAGGGTTGCAGGTTCCAGCAAGAAGTTCATGTGGATATAAGGAGAAAAATCACAATGAGCGAAGAATGGGACAGGAGCTCAGAGAGGTGGTGTGCTCTCCAGCCTTGAAGATTTTCAAAACTCACCAGGGCAAGGCACTGATCAACATCATCAGATTTTGAAACTAGTCCTGCTTTGAGCAGGGGATTGAACTAGGCACCTAAAAATTCCCTCATGACTGAAGTTATTCCATGAGAGGAGTTAAATGTGTGTGCTGTGCACTTCAGCTCAAATTCTGCATCAGCTTCCCAGTTGCTTTTGTCCTGGGAAATGAGACAGGCTCCTCTTCCAACAGAAGCTCCTGTGAGATTAAGTACCCACTTTTATAGAGATTGAAGTGTCGTTATCTTACTGTCTTAAATAAATGAAAGTGGTTAGTCTTCACAACTTTATTGGGATTCATCTACCCACTGCAATATACGCCATTTGTCAAGCTACATGGTGTACAATTTGCACAGGAAAAGCTGAGGTCAGTCTAGCAGAACAGACAAACACCTCCTATGATTTTTGCTTAGAAGCAGCAGACACAGGTGAGAGTTGGGAGGGTGATTTGAGATCCACCACAATTAGGAGCCCTTTGGGAGCCCAGGATGTGATGCTGATGCAGTGCTAGCATTATATTAGTAACTCGTTCCCTGGATCCTGTTTAATTCCCTCTCATCCTCAGTTCCCCTGTGGTCATTTTGGGGTTTTGTAGCTGTCTTTGAAACCTTCTAGAATCTTCAAGTGATTCATGCCATCTTCCAATTTCAGAGGTTTCATCTGAATACCTCTCAATAATCAAGTTAAGATAAGGGTGAAGTCCAATGTCAAGAGTGCAAAGAAAACACTTTGGTGTGTAGGACCCTGCCTTAAGGAACAGTGTTGACAAATGCTGTTCACTGGTTTTGCTTGTGTTAAACCTCCCGGGAACCTGTTCAGCCTTTCTGTGTTCTGACAGATAGAAGTGTTCCTCTCATTTCCAGCACCAAGAAAATAATGGCACTCATGTTGTCTCCTGGTATTTTCCTTGTGTCCTGGCAGAGCCCACCATCCTATTTCTGTCACTGAGCTCAACAGATCTTGCAAGAACAAATAAATTTGCATGATTAAGGGAGCCACAGGAAGGTATAAGGAGCCACATAATTTGTCTAGTAGAAACCTGAACCCAGGAACCTCAGGAACTACTCTGCCATCACCCAGAGCATCAGGTAGCAGATCTTGCTTTAGTGTGGCTACGCATAGCTAGGAGCACAGCTCTCTCTTAGCAGCAGCCAAAGTCACATCCATCCAACACAGTATCTCTTGAGTGCAGTGGAGATTATGACTAATTTATGTTGTTGGGTTTGGCCCTAGCCAGACAACTTAATATGATATAAATTCATTACTGAAGACTAGAGCAAAAAGCTGTGTGCTTGGAGTAAAATGAATATTCACTGAGATGGACAGCTTAAAAGTTGTGTTCATAGATGTAGAGTCATAAAGGTGGATCTGTTGCATGAAATCTGCTGTGTAAATGTCAATGCTTCAGGCTTTCAGCTTCTGCTGCTTTGTGTTGAATACCTTATACTGAGAGAAGGGCAGGAGAAAGCCATATTACAGTTTTGGAAAGCTGTAACCTGTTGTCAGATCAGTACGTTTTGTGTCACTTCTCCAGTATATTCCTGGTCACTTGGCCTCTTCTTGTGTCCAATAATAAATGCTTATTCAGCATTCAAAAATCTTGATTAATAAAAGGTGAAGGATGTCCAGAGGAATATACTGAGTTCAGAAAAACTCAAATTTAGGAGAAACTAGAATGGACCTTTAGGTCCTTCCTTAGCATGGAGCTGGCTGTAACCACAGGGATTATTTGCAAGCAGTCCAGTTATATCGCTGGTGTGAATGGCAGGGGCATTAGAGGGAGGAACTAGGCAGAGTTGAGACTGCAACAGGAGATAATCTGTGTGAGCTGCCCCTTGGAGGGACAAGACCCTGTCACTAATTCCCATCTGCATGATCATATGGAGTACTTGTGTAGAGGAGGTCATCCTGTGCACCATTTATCTCTCAGTAAACAGGTACAACAGCCTTCTAGGCAGAAGGCTCATCACGTCTCAGCATGTATCAGCACAGAGGAGAGGTGTGCTAGGTGTGTTTAAGTGAGAAGGGAGCATAAATATAGACCTTTATCTGTGGAAAAGGCTGAACAGTTAAAGGAAAGGTAAAGTCAGTCAGATTAAAGACAAAAACTATACATACTTGCTTTGAGGATGATGAAGCATCATTTGAAAGGGGCTGAATTAAAGACAGTCGGTTCCTGAGTTTCAAAAAAAAAAAAAGACTGGAAAACTCTGGAGTAGCACAAAGCTAACCCTCTGGAAATTGATTTTTTTTTTTTTTTTGCATCAAGTTTCTTTAATGTTCTTACTTTTTAAGAAAATTGAGATATTATTCCCTTTGCCATTTTTTTCTGAGGTCTGACATCCCACTATGTGTCTCAGCTCCCATCCCAGTTGCCCAGGGCACAGAGCTCCCTGTAGTCTGTTGGAGAGGGGGAGCAGGAGATGGGCTCAGCCCCCTCTCACCCCTGCATCCCCATACTCGCCAGTGACGCAGAGGCCATGGCACATTAGAATAAAAGCTGGAGGCCACTCATCTCAAACGTGGTAATACTGACTTCATCTGCTGCTTGCATGCTCCTGAGATGCACACTTATTTATGATCAAAACACTAAACAGTTGGCATGAGTAATTGGTTGTGTTGAGCACAGCTCAGACTTCCTTAAACCCCAAATCCTCTTCCTCTGATCTCCTCCCCTTTGCCTAGAGGACAGCACCTCATGCTGTTTCTTTGCTGCTGGAAAATAAAGGTGAGCTGCAGCTCCAAGTCCTCCCTGTCTCTGCTGAAGGCTGGCTCTAACCCGTACGTGGCAGAGTGCTAGTGGGGTTCAAAGGCCTCTCGGGGTGCTCCTTGGCCAGAAACCTCCCCGAGATGTGCCCATCCCAGCTGACACACTCATCACCCCCCCCCCCCCCCCCCCCCCCCCCCCCATACTTCCCCTCCCAGAAGGACCAGGAGCCCCGTGCAGCGCCTGGGGCAGCCGCTGAGCAGTTGGCTCGTTTGAAGCTCGACCTGGGCGTGTTTTCATTTCCCAGTCCAGCGGGACAGATGGAGGCGATGGGATGGGATGGCTCGGGAAGGGGGGGGGGGGGACATAGGCACCCGGATCCTGCACGGTAAAGCGCTGGCGGATCCCACCTGGCCGAGCGGTTTGAAAAACCGCTCCGGCAGTAGAGGAGGATCTCCAGCCCTCCCTCCAAAAAGAAGGAAAAAAAAAAAAAGTAAAATTAACTATAAATAAACGTGCTCGGAGGCTGCCCGTCCCGCTGAGCCCCTGTTTGAGCCTCGCTTGAGAAAGGAGAGGGGGGAGAAAAAAACCCGAGCCCCCCCGCCCACCTCCCGTGGGGGGGGTTTGGGGGGGGGAGAGGGGCGGTGAGCCGCAGCCCCGCCCCGCCCCGCCCCGCCGCTTTCTGTCCCCTCTCCCGCGCCGTACGGCTGGGCGCGCCGTCTCCATCCGCTGGCAACTTTGTCGTGCGGGGCTCTGCCCTCACCCGGGGGGCGAGGGTCGGAGCCCCCCCCCCCCCCCGCCTCCGCCACCACCCCCCCCGCACCCCCCCGGCCGGCGAGCCCACCCCGCCATGGCTGGGATCGGTATCGACCACTCCAAGCTGCCCGGAGTCAAAGAAGGTGGGGGTCACCGCGGGGAGGGGGGAGCACGCCGGCTCTTTGAGGGCGGGGGAGCGCAGGGTCCGGCCCCGGGTGGGGGGAGCTGGACAGGACGGGGCGGTTCGGGGGGGGATTGGGGGAAAGAAGGGGAGAAACTATATATTTTTGGGGTTTTGTTTTGGTTTTTTTTTTTTTTTTTTTTTGGGGGGGGGGGGGAGGCGTGTGGGGGGGAAATACAATTATTTTAAATTTTCCGGCCACGGGTGCGGGTGGCGGCGCTCCCCGTGGAGCCGGGTCGGGGCGGGGGGGTGGTGGTGGTGGTGGTGGGGTGTCTCCGCGCTCCGGCCGCACGGGGCGTGCGTGGGGTTTGCGAGAACCGTCCCGCTTTCCCGTGCGTTGCCTCGGGCGGTTGTGCGGGGCGGAGGGAGGGCCAGCAGCGTTACCGTGACCGGGGAACCGCGGCCGCCCCGCTCCCCGCTCCCCTTCCCCGGGCGTGGGGCGGGGAGGTGCCGCCGCTCCCCGGGAGAAGGCGAGGAGCGGCGCTGGGGGCGGGGGCAGCCCTTTGTCTGCGGCGGGGCCGAGGGGGCCGGGCTGCGCTCCCACGGGAGCCGAGGCTCGCTGTGAAACAGCGGGGAGACCCTTCGGGGCCACTGGTACGTTCCTGGCAGTTACGGCTCGGCTGGGTTTGGAGGCTCAGCTGGGGGAGCGTTTTAAAAATGGGAGCGGAGCTGTGAAGATCCCCAGGTTTGGTGATTTGAGGGGGACTGGCGTGTTGGGGTCCCGGTTTAAAATACTGGAGCCGGCGGGGTTTTTGTGAAGACTTGGCTCAGCACTGAGCTTTGGAGCACCAAGCTGCAGCTTCCGCCACCCTGCAAAACCCCTGCGCACCCCAAGAGTGCAGGGGAGGGGGGGCTGTGAGGGCCTCGCTCGCTTCCCCGCTGTCCGGGGGCACCGGCTGCGTGTTTAGCCTGTGCTCTGCACGCAGATTCACCTTCGGTTGGGCCAGATCAGCCTCAGCTTCCCTGTTTGCAGAGTGTCTGCCTCGCATGTGTGCCTTTAAGCTTAATTAAAGGTGCACTGGAGCTGCTTTGGGTTTAAAAAGCTCTGTGCGAGGTAGAGTACGTTCTTCCTGACAGTGATATAAATCCATAGAAGCTCTGTCAAAATCAAGTTATTTTAGATTTATGCTGTGGCAATGGAGAGCACTGTGTGCCTGTCTGAATACAACCAAAATTCCTTAACCTTGTTTTCCTTGCCACTGGCCATTTCTTCTTCCTTAAAATTTCAGTTCTTACAAAGTAGCAACTGTGAATTAGATTGTTCAACTAGTCAGGAGTAGAAGGCATGTGTCTGTGCAGGGAGCTGGGGGTTCCTTTTGACCTCTTGTTATCCTTTAGTACTTCACGTCTTGCTACTGGTAGAAAAATAATATCCATGTGCTGAAGTTTTAGGAGTTATGTTGGTCCTGTTAAGTCATTAGCAAAATTGTTATTGGTCATTGTAGTGTGGTCAAGATGTCATCCTTAGTCTGTCCACACACGGTTACTCAAGAAAATGAATCCAATTAACCTTTTCAGTGAGTTGATTACAGTGAATTAAATCCCTGTGTAGATGCTTTTATTCAGAACATAGGTCGTCTTGATTTGATTTAGCTTGATTCATTTTTGAAGTGAACTAACTGGACTGAGTTAAGGTTGCTTACATGCTGAATGAAAGTATGTTTACAGGGTTGCAGTGTAGCTCACCCAGGTCTTGGTAAATTTGCAACAATGGTTAGCATGTATTAAGTTTCACGAGTGTCCTGGTATGACAGTCTGTTGTTACCTGATAGCAGTTGGATTAAAATAGTGTCCCAGAGCAGCTCCAACGTGCAAAGTAGATGAGGCGTGAGCCATGTTCTGCAAAGCCTCAGGCATGTTGCACGCTTTTACTTTAGTGGCGTAATTTGTTTTTATTGTAGAAAGCGTTGAAACCAAGCTATGCTTTGGATTAGATCTTCTCATGCTCGGCATTAGTGCCAACCAAGGAGAGAAATGCATCACCTTCCATACCTAGGGAAATATTTATTGTTCCTTATACAGAAATCACTGTTGATCCTTCTGGAAAAACATTCCCTTTCTTCATTTCGGGTAAAGGTCGGCTTAGTCGTTCATTAACAGTGAAGAACATTGTTTTGGTTTGAGTACTTTGTTCTTCACCAGCCCTCCTTTGAGAGGGGAGCTGGGGGTCCAGGTTCTCCTGGCTGCAGGTAGCTGGGACTGCTGCGAGGCAGGGTCACCCTCCTCTCCTGGTGTGATCTGAAAGTCTTCTACAAGCAAGGTCATTTCTGTGCAATGATGGCATTGAAAATCTGATAAGTGTAGCTAGGTGCTGCAGGAAGCATAGCTTCTTGTGTTTACTTTCTTTTTTTATCTTTAAAAGCATGTAATATTAGCTGAAGGCCTGATATAGATGGCGTATTGCTGGTGAAAACTGCTTCAGCTGGTCCAGTTTATTTTGTGGGCAGGGGTTTACTGGTGTAAAATACACCCTCAAAACACTCTTTCTAGTATAAAATAGACCTTGGTGCTGCAGCCTGGTGTTACAGAGCCATTTTTCCATGGGCAGTAAAGTGGATGTTCTGACCACTGTGGTCAGTGAAGCTCTTGTAAGTTATTTGCTGATGGTTTTGGTGTTAGTTGCAATCTGTGGGCTGAGTTTCTGTGCCTGTATTTCTATTCGCCTCTCAAGTGCCAGTGACATTTTCTCTTTTCACAAAGCAGCTTTTGCTGTCTGCTCTTTTGACCCACCCCAGGGGATTTCTCAGCTCTATGTGTGTAGATCTTTTTTACTAGAGGTCTCATTTGTTGTAAGCCTTTTGGGGAGAGAAGCACCTGGAAATATTATTTTAATTAGTTACTAATGAAGCAAATAACAGAAACTGGCTTGAGCTCTGCTTCATCTTTAATTGTTTGTTTCTCATCTCTTGTGATCTGGTGCATTGCTAGCAGCTATAACTGGGAAGGGCTATACCCTGTCTTTGGTTGCCTGTTTTAAATGAGCTCTTCGGTGTAGCTCCCTATGCCATCTCAAAACACTGTGTATTGTCTCTTGGACCTGGGAGGCATCCTTGCCAAGCAGGCAGAGCTTCATGGGGTGCATTCCTGGGGAAGTATATTGGAGTATTTTAGATCTGTGGTCCCATCTGCTATTGCTGCCATTGCCGAAGGGCTGAGGTCTGTGGCAGTAGCTTTGCAGGGGGGATGCCTGTCTGCTAAGACTGAGGCTCAGTCCCTGGTCCAATGCAGTCTACCAGAGGCATCAGTTGTTAGTGGTGGCAGATAAAATCCAGGTACAGACTTCTTGCCAGGGGCTCCTGGTCTTCCTGCCAGTTTGAATCCTCTGTGAGGAGAGAAAAAGGAGAGGTGGGGGGAAGAGAGGGACCCTGAACTCCGCTCCAGCAGTGTATGGCCCTTTAGAACTGTGGAAAATTGCAGTGGCTTAAGTGTTTTTATTTAATTTTATTTTTAGTAGTAGTATAAAGAAGTATAAGGGCAGTACATCTGTGCCAATCATTAGGATCAACCCTGCTACTCTGCTGTCTCTTGAGCTACAGCCTTGACAAAGGCTGATTGTGCCACCCGTGTCACGGCAATAATGCTCACACTATGGTTTCTACTTTTCATTAAGCATCTGATTGGCTTTCTCAAGCCCCTGAGCTGTACATTTAAATGCAGCTAGCTGTAGTCTGCTGCCAGAGAGGCCAATTGCCCAAATGTGATAGGAAAAGATACACCTCTCTCTGTGGCCTTGGGGAAACAGGAAGGGCTTGAATCTTTATTTTCCGTTTTGGTAAAGCATTCTCTGGGTCAGCAGCCTGGCTGGCGCTCTTTTGCCTTATCATAGTTTGAATAAAAGTTTGCTGTAAGCATCAGTTTTCCTCTTCCTCTGAAGCACAGCACCTTCCCTCTGACCTCTGCAGCTTAATATGACCTTTGCTGAGACTCCAGCAATAAAAACCTCCTGACTGCTGACTTTCCAAGTGAACGGGGAAGTGTTCAGCTCTGAGGTGCAGTGTCTCAGGTTCCCATAGAACAGACAGATGCTACTGGCATATACTGGGGCTTTTGGTGCCTATGTGTGCTCAGTAACATGATGGTGAACAAGAGAAACTTGATGCCTGTCAAAGGTGGAAGTGCATTCAGAAAGTGTTGATGGCTGGCACGGTGTCTGGTGAGGAGGGATTCTGCTTTGGGATTTTTCAGGGGGCTGGTGTTGAGGGATGGGATGTCAGATGTACTCATGTGAAGGAAGGGTTGGCCTTTAACTGGATTAGTATAATCAGGGCAACAATTTTGAGAGCAGCTGAGGGTCAGCCGGGTCACTGTGAAGCCAGCTGCCCCATGCCCTTTGGCTCCAGCTGAGATTTGTCCTTGCAGCATGATGTGCAGTGTCATGGCTTTCTTCTTTGTGACTTCCTTAGAGAAGGGCTCTGAAAAATTCAGGCAAGCTGGATGGCTTTAGGGCAACAAGGAGGTGGAGAGTGATGGGACAGAGATGCAGGCTTTTCTTTCTAGGTCACTGGTTCATGTCCAGCTCTTCTGAGTAATAGGAGATCTGTTTTTCCAGCATGCGTGAGTTCAGTAACTGAGGCTGTGGTACTCATTTCACTTCTGGTTAAAGCTGGGTGAGTTTTATTATGCATTCAGTTGCTCTGGGTCTGCAGAGCTTGGCAGAGGAGATGGGCAGGATTAGCATATTTCATGCACTTGGCTCCAGAACAAAACTGAGCAAGCAGGTCTGCCTCCTTCCATCCCTTAAATCCTTAGCACTTGTCCTCGGCGAGCTGCCGTGGAGGTTGTACCAAGGCAAAAAGATTGCTCAAAAAGTAGTTTTTGGCAGAGAGGAGCTTCCAGACTCACGTTGATGCCTTCTGCAGAGATGTTTCCTTAGTTACTGACAAGTTTTTTGGACTGGGATAAGTGGGGGGCACAGTCTGTTTTGCCCTAATTCCTGGGGATGTGGGGCAGGGGGGGGCTTCC